GGATTAGTAAATAAATCAATAGAGGAAAACCTCCTTTCGAGTTTAATTAGTTGTCAGTTATGAATAAATAATACTGTTGATTCTGGCTTGAACCTGATTAATGTATACCATTTGCCATATTATCAGAGATTCCCCGACACTTGAGTGTATGCCACTCCCAAGTTGCTCATATGCTCCAATGATGTTGCCAGGTATAGTTGATTTTCAACTTCTCAATTGCCTGTAGATGAAGCAATCCCCAGTTAGAAGTTAGGACAGGTTGTGATGGTTGTTTACGGGATTGTAGAAAACTTGAGCTTGAATCTGAATATTCAGACGGATTTATAAATTCATTTCTATTTCAAGTATTGTTGGAAACATGATGGCACGCACCAACACTCTAAAGTTAATCTGTACTTGCAATGCATGCATCTTTAACCAAATGATCTAATTTATAAACATAATGCACGCACCAATATAGTCTCTCTGTTTTTTGCTATGTAGTATATTCTCCTTAACGTCTATCGTCAAATTGAAGCAAGTACAGAAGGCTCATACCAAAAATTTGGTGAAACACCCGTTTAATTTAAACTTTTGGATTATGAAATGGATAATTGTTTTTTGTTTTGCAAATCCACACGAGGGAAATGGATCTATTGTTGGGGTGTTAGCAAAATTTCTCTGTTTACAAGGACTGGAAACCATTTTTTTGTCAATCACATAATTCTACACCCTTTTTATGCTTTGCACTTTATCCAAAAAACTGAGCAACAACAATGATACAAAGTTCTAAAAGGATCAAATTAGAACGAATCTATGCACTTTTTACCTTCTTTGAATATATCGAATTTCAGAACCCCAAAACAAGAAAATCCCCACTGATTTCCCAGAACCATCATGCCCAATCCTCCAATGGGTGAATCGCGCGTGACATGAAATGGGCCAAGGTGTAATTTGAGGCCTCCGTTGTGGGTCACTGGGTCCAATCACTGGTGGGGACAAAGTGCGTCCCAAGCCATCCCATATAATAGCTTGTAACAGAACAAACAACTAGCAACGAGTGGCGGTGGGTGGGGATGGGGAGGAGGGGGTGGTGGTTGGTATAAATGGGGGTGTGGAAAAGGAAAGGGAAAAGGAGGAGGGAGGGGTAGACGTGAGCACATGGCGAGAAGATTCAACAAGGACGAGTACAAGCTAGGGGAGTTTGCGCAGTGCATGGGTAGAAGGTGCAGAGGCATGAGGTTGGACTGCCCTCTCCACTGCGGCGGACCTTGCTTCTATGACTGCCGGAATATGTGCAAAGCTCACCGCCGCCGGCCCTAACCTCATTTGTTAATCCTCACTGTTTATAGTATTTTTACGCCTGTGAGGTTTAATTGGGTTTTTCTTTGCAATTTGCTAGTATTTGCTATTTGCATATGCTCTATTTGATTTATGATGTTGTTGTGTGTTAATTAAGAGGAAGACCTATACTGCAAATTCAGTTCAAGTGGTTAATTACTTGTGTTTTAAGTGAAAATAACTTTGAATTTGAGTTTTGATTCCTTGAATGCCACATTTTCCCTAATATTAAAACTATTTGCAACTTGTTTAAAATAAAAAAATAAAAAAAATCAAGAGGAAGGACCAATTGGTATGGGATTTTTCCTCTTTTTTTTTTCTTTTTTTTTTTAAGTATAGTTTGAGAATTTGAATTTTAATAAAAGTAATGTTTGAATTATTAGTTATATGATTAATGATAAAATTACTTATATTTTTAATTACAAATTTAGAATTCAATCTTCAATCTTTAAGTATAAAATAAAAAAGATTAATGAACTTCTTTTAATTTTACTAAAATTTATAATTAATGAAGTTATGTTCAAT